TGTGTGTCTTGAAATAATGCGAATGATATAAAACAATTATAAATCAATAAAAATAAAATAATAAGCTAATCAAAATTAACAAATATCCAATCATACTACCTTTATTAAAAAATTAAATCAATGTAATGCATATATTTACAGCCAATCAATATTGTCCAATATTAATGTTTAGCGAATCCTAATACATAATTAGATCATTCTTTGTGGACTTCATCAAGTTCATTTTTCATGAAGCTTCATTTGGTCTCCCACTATAAACTAAAAATAAAAAGTCAATGCTATTCAACTTGCATAAAATTTTTGGGTTCTTTTATTAAAAGATATTACTATTATATGAAATTAATACTAATTTTGAATAGTGTGCTCATAAAATCATATAAAACAGTCTCCATCATAGAACGAATGACATAATATCCACATTTGATCGATCTTAGTTGATGAGGAACCTAAAAAATAAAATTGAGTGGGTTGGTAAACATTTATCTAAGAAAAATAATAGTAAATAAAAAATAATAGTAATTATGAAGAAATACAATATGATCTAATTATCACTTATTAATAGCATATCATGCCTCTTTATTAAATTGACGATATCGGGTTTAGGTCCTTGGTTGAATGGAGTTAAATAAATATGGCATCCCCAAGTTAGTATCAATTACAATAAGCTGCCAATGACGCCTGTAAAATAATAGGCATGATATGTAAATAATAGGCATGAAATTAGATGTCATAAATGATACAATTAATACTAAGGATAAGAACTTACGCATAGTTATAAGGCATAAAAAAATAATCAACCTATTTTTGCATGCATTGATCGACATGACGAGAATGAGTAACGATAGTGCCACTCTCATGACTAATCAAATTTGGGTCAATGAATCTAAATCTATGAGTCATTTGTCTCACTTTTATCTTTTTATATGGGAGTTGCATGATAACAATTAACAATACCATTTAGTAATACATCATAAAATAGAATAATTGATATTGACTTTGGATATTTAAATTAATTGATAAGCTAATTTCATTTAAGCAACAATATCAAAAGTTGATATCTCATTCAAGGTACAAAATGCCTCAATCTTTGGTCTCTTAATGTAAGACATGGATGGATGGTCAAATAACCCATTCTCTCCCTCAATGGCAATGACGTTTTCTTCGGGTAAATGAACAAGTGTATAATTAGATAACGCATTAATGGCAAACTCTGCAGGGATCATCGTTTAAGTCTGAACATCCTATTATAATATATTATAAAATAAAAGTATTAAAATCAATTTAAAAAATAAAAAATATAAATAAATATTGAATGAATAAACAAAATGAAAATAATGATTATTATCGGAGTTTGAGTTTGCTATAAAACTTGATTCACGAAAGCATTTCCCTGCTAAATGTCGATAACAGACTACCTTTGACGTATGTTAGGCTATATTGTTACCAACATTGCCTCCAAAGCTACGAATCATTATTGTTGATTATTTAGGCGTTACTATTGCTCATCAAGTCTTTGTTGTTGTTGCTAAATAATTGCTTTATATTCTGCATTGTTCATTGGAGGGGGTTTAGGTTGATTACTAAAGAACTATAATGGCGACATAAATCTACCAATCCCTCGAACTCGACCATGTCTTTCTTTGGATCCTAATGCTAAAAACAAGAGATTTTTACCATAACCGATTGGCAGTTCATCGAATTCATATATCATAGTAAATTCATTTTGAAACATAAAAAGATGGTACGTAACAAACCATATACAATATATAGTTATGCATACAAGTACAAATATATCATACGTGATAAAATAACGAATTATACTTATAATCTTTTTAGTCATTTTTTCAGTTACTTCATCCATGAATGATCCATTTTTATGTATATGTCATTTTTTTCACACATTTTATCTAGAAACTTTAGTTCTAGAGCTAGATGATTCTTAAAAAATTAAAGCGATATAAGAAACAGAATGTTTATAAATATTCATATATGAGTATAAAATAAACATGTGAATACTTACAATACCATACTTGACATTTATATAACCTTTTTTCGATGTCCGACGGTGATAAACTTGTTTGGCCAGAATGTTCTTTTGTTGTTTTTTTATTTTTTGAAAAAAAATGTAACTCATATATTAAGATATCGAATATATTAAATAAAATATTATAAACAATTAACAAACTAGGTATGTATATCGAGAATTCATTTGATAGACGTTTTGAACAAACTACTACCACTTTCATAATTGATAACATCTGCATATGATGTTAGAGGATCAATCAACAATTTAAAATTATTAGAGAACAATAAAATATATTAGGTTATCAATCTACTATTAAAGTTTCTGAATGCTTTTCAAGCCGATTGCAACACAATCTTTTTATATTTAGTTAGAACGTTGAACCGTTCCTAATAAATTTAAAATAATTACTATTAACACATTAATTCAATTCAAATTTCAAATTAACAAAAGTTTGGATATTATTGAATAAATATACCACAACCAACTCTTATATATTATCCTTTTTATCATCAGGAACCATCTGCCAATTATAGTACGTAATAGGAATATTATATCGAATGGCTGCTCCAATGTGGCTAGCCAACTTTGCACATCTATCCAATATAGGCTACTCATTTTGATTGAACTTGATGTGAATTTTCATTCTAGTTGCTTTAATTTGTTTACTACATCCTTTTGATTTTTTTTTTCACTACATATGTGTGTTTTTTTTTGTTCAATAGAAAAAGACATGTTTTTTAATACTTGCACTTTTGATCAAAATCATACAAAATACACCAAATTATCTTTCTATATATCACACATAGTAAAAAACAATCAATATCCACTACAGCAAATAAACCAATATGCATAAAACATAACAATACCAAAATATTACACAGGTACAAGCTATACTGTATTTTATCATATCATAAGAGTTTCATGTAAAACAAATAAGTACAACTATAACAACTATTTTTCACAAAACCATTCAAGAAACCACAATACTCAAACCAAATAAAAAAAAAAAACCATGCATGCAATGAATGGAGGTTGTGCAACGTAAGTGACAGTTGTAAATACCTATAAAAATAAAAAATATAAATATATATAGTAAGGAAAGACAAAAATGACATATATAGAAGAATATAATTAGTACATAAAGGATAAAATACACAGATGCCAATAAAAATGAGATGCGATAGTGTTGAGTGGTTGACGATCGACGGCAACATGAGAGATGAAGAAATTAAAATGTAAAGTAAATGGGTTTATGGGTTTAAGGAAATACACACATTGTAGCTTTTTATCGTTCAATTGTACTAGCCATTTAGTTTTTCAAGGTTCAATAATAGGGAGTGAATCTTTTAAAATGATCAATTAAGGCATTTGTGTTACAAATGGCTAAATTGATCAATTTTAAAAATAATTTTTAGGTCAATTAAGGTGTTTGTGAACAAAAATGCCTTAATTGATCCAATTTATATATTATAACAGATGATTATTTAAAGTGTTTCCGTACATAAACACTTTAATTAATTAGTTATAAAAAATAAAAAGATCAATTAAGACGTTTGTGTATAAAAATGCCTTAAATGATTGATTAATTAAGGCGTTATATAAAAAAAGATAGTTTAAGACGTTTCTGTCAAGATTGTTAATATTGTACCGGATAACATTTTGATTATTTAAAAAAATATGATATATACCGATACTAGTTGTTTCGATATATTATTTTAGATTTTTTGGTTTAGTACAAATATATTTATAAACATATATGAACTTGTACATTATAATATTATTAATAATCTACAAAATAAATATGCAATATATTCAAAAATCAAATAAATTAATTTAAAAAGCATAAGAAATAGTATCATAAATTTTTCATGATATTTTTAAACACTTAATTTGATAATATGATATTTAAATAAGTATTTTTCATATAAATATTAAGATAAAAACAAATGGATGAAAAAATTTATCCAATGTTTTATGATTGTTAAATTTTATAAAAGAAGTTTAATTGTTTTCTAGAAAAAAAATTGAAATACTTATAAATTTTGGTTTAAAAAATAAACTATAAAAAAATAAAAAACTTAACTTTTAAATGTTATTTTGTTAATTAATTTTATTTTTATTAGGTTAAAAATAATTAAAAAATAAAAAACATGTTAAAAATACAAAATATATTTTACATTCACATACTGGTATTATTTTATCGAAATTCACCAAAATAGATGAAAACTAATAAAAATAATCAGTATTATCCAGTATCAAATTTGGTACGAAAATCATCCTTAGGTGTATCATTTTTTTGGCCTGTACTGAAATAAAATTAAAAACTATGGTTTATGTACATAAACTCTTTAATTAATCAATTATAAAAAAAGGTTTAGTACAAAAATGACTTAAAAACTTGATCAATTAAAATATTTATTTACTACACAAATGTCTTAAATAGTTTTATTATAAATTTATAAAGAGATCAATTAAAACGTTTAGTTATACATATATCTTAATTAATCATTTTTATAAATTTTATATGAAAGATCAATTAAGATTTTTGTATAATCAAACATCTTAATTGATCTCTTTATACTCCTTTGTAAATTTTATAAAAAGATCAATTAACAGATTATAAAAAGATCAATTAAGATGCTCGGTTACATAAATATTTTAATTTAAAATATGATATAAACTTAATATTAAAAAAATATAATTTATATAATTTAAAATTAATAATATAAATTTATAAAATTAAAAATTTATATTAATTTTTATATATTAATATAAATTATAATATAATAATTTTTATATTTCACACCTATTTAATATAAAATAAATAAGATATAATTTCATAAATTATTGTTGCTGCTCAAGTAAAACATTACTCCATGTGTACTTCACTATAATTGAGGAAAGGCTTAAGATAACTTTTGAGACAAAAAGCATTTGATTGACTGGTGGTCAAAGCGATGACAGCAGCCCACAAGTCACCACCCAGTAAAGTTATGTGTGCCAGTGTCAACTAGTTTCTTTATCAGGGTAAAAAAAAAAACCAAAAAAAAAATGGTAATTTCCGAGCCAAAGCAAAACGTCCGTTAGACGATTTGTCATCTGCCTCGGCGCTGAACACATCCTCCATTGGGACAATTACGTAGAAATACCATTCAGGTTCCGCTTTTCCCTTACTTTCTTTACATTTTAAATGGAGGTAATAGTAGTAAATTTGATTGGACAAGAAACAAGTGGGAGATAATGCTGCATCTCTCTGCTTCAAAGATTTGCAAAGATCTTACGATATTGGATCCTCAGAATCTTTACCTTTATCTCTCTTTTTAAATACTCTGTCCATTCTTTTATTCAAAGCCAAAGAGCCCCAGATTTTCTTCTTCGTAAAACCGCCCATTTTCATTCTCAAGTCTTCCAGTATACATCCAAAAGAAGCAAAATACCACACTAAAGAGAGCTTCTTCCCTTCTCATACTGGGTTATGGCGATTGCTGCTGAAGTTTTACCTTCTGGGTCACAGGAGTTGCATGTTCTTGCCGTTGATGATAGCCATGTGGATCGTAAGGTCATTGAAAAATTGCTTAATATCTCTTCTTGTAAAGGTATGGCTTATTTCAATCCTTTTTTTAATGGTTTTTGGATCAAAAGTTGTGGTTTTTAGTTGATTTTGAAGATTCGGTTTGATTCTTTATTTCCCTGCAGTTACCGCGGTGGACAGCGGGACGCGAGCTTTACAGTTTCTTGGCTTGGATGGGGAAAAAGGGTCTCTCGGTTTGAATGTGAGTAGTTTTATCTGTTTGATTGCTGAGAAACTAGTATAAAGAGAAAAAGGAACCTTTGAATCGAATGTTCTGTTTTCAATGAAGTTTTGTTTAAAATCTTTGAGTTTATCATTCTCACATTTGTGATTTCTGTTCTTTCTTTTGAATGGTGTTTTAACGTTTGATTTGCTGTGATTCCAGGGTTTGAAGGTGAATCTTATACTGACCGACTACTCCATGCCCGGGATGACAGGATATGAGCTCCTCAAGAAGATCAAGGTTAGTCTTTGTGGCATTTTTATATGCTTTTAAATTTCTCCTTAAGTTTTTGTTTGATCAACCAAATATATTTGTTTGTTTGATATGCATAATTTGATTTGTAACAGCAATCATCAGCTTTTAGAGAAATCCCTGTGGTGATCATGTCCTCTGAGAACATCCTCACTCGTGTTGATAGGTATGAATATGATCTTAATTTAATCTTTTCTTTTTCATTTTTGTTTTTTGTTGGCGTCAGAAATTTGTATTTACTGTTCTTCATGTTTTGGATTTTAGTGTAAATATCAGTGAAAATAAATTCTTTGATGATAGTGAGCATGATATGATTGATTCATACTGATTTTTCTATTTGCTGATGATTTTATATGGAACCCAAATCTGTTTGGTGGATCTGGAAATATATTCTAATTCATTTCTCTGTATTTGTTAACATTCTTTGAAAATTTACATAGTTGGACTTCTATCCTCATCCTGTGGCTTGAAACTATTGGACGAAAATTAAAATTAAGGAATTTTATGGATTGCATTGATTTAGTGCATTATTATTGAAAAGATTTGTCAAACATATCTTTTCTTTTAAGAGAGAGATTTGTCAGACATATCAGTCATTATAAAATCATCCAAAACTGATGATTTTCTGCATAAAACCGAACAAAATAACATTTTGAGTAGTAGAGCTATGATTAAAATTATTTGCAAGCCCAGATTATTTGTTATGGGGATATCCTGTTATTTTATGTATATATAAAATTGCTGATGGATTTATTAGTTTTATCAACGGGAAAGGGTGGGATTACTAATTTTGTCAACTGTGTTCAGGTGAAAATCTCGGGTGTTTCAATATGAAAATTTTCCGAAAAAATTATTGGTTTGGTTTTCTAATTTTCGTGGGTGTCCATGGACATCCTACTTGTCCGCGTGCATCCCCTGCTTAGATGTGGTGTAGCTATGAAAATTTTGATGGATTCCTCTTTGGAACAAGCTTAGGGGTGATCGCCGGTCTTTGAACTGTTCTCACTGATGATTGCCAACGGTGATCATCCCCTCTTAATCGACAAAGCTAGAGTAATAGTGAAGATATGTTCGGGAGTTAATAGAATGTCATCAAGTGTAAATCTTATGGTTTTAACCTGGTTCTTTTCAGCCGCTTTCCATGTGCATGCACTCGTGGTTGATGTTGCTGTGTGATTTTCTTATAAGTTGCCATGTATCATTATCTTTCATTAACTTCTGTCGTTTAAATGCTTTCTTGAACAATGGCTAAAACGTTCATTTCATTGACAGGTGTTTGGAGGAAGGGGCAGAGGAGTTCCTGGTTAAGCCTGTAAAGCTGTCAGATGTAAAAAGGTTGAAAGAGTTCGTAATGAGAGGAAAAACAGAGGAAAATAAAGGGAGAAGAGTCCACAAAAGAAAGTTTGAAGATGATAGCCACCCGCCATCATCATCATCATCAACACCATCATCATCAACACCATCATCACCACTGTTGCCCCCTCCTTTGACTGCAGCCCCATTTGCTTGTGATATAGCAGCCTCAGAACTACCATCATCACCTCTGCGTTCATGGAAGAGGTCAAAATTGCGTGACAGTGACTAACTTCTCTCTCATCCTCTTTTCTTTTTTCAGTGGTAACTATTTTTTTGTCAATTTTTGTCATGGTTTCCCCAGTGTGGGTAGGTGAAGATAACATGTGCATATTGCACTTATAGTGGCCTATCTAGATTCTGACAAGAACTAATAGGACCAGTAACAGAGAAACGAGAGAGAGAGAAGAAATACAGATGATATTCCTTTTGTTCCATGTATGTAAAGAAATCCAGAATATTATAGGCGCTTTTGTGTTTGTATCGGTCCATCCGTATGGATGTGCTATACCTTAATTAAGTTTAACTTTGCAAAACTCTATCTAGGGCTTGTGCTTCTATTGGAGGCTCAGAATTTTGCTTCTATTGGAGGTAGATGTAATAATTTTAAACATACAAAGAGTCACAAAAAAATGATACGAAAAAAGATAAAAAATATATAATTTAAAAATTTAATAAAGTTTTATATGAAATTAGGAAAAACAGTATATATTGTGTGACGGTAAATTTCATATTTCATGTGTAAAGTACAAAATAAAAAAAATATAAATATGTGAATCGGGAGGATTAATGTAATCTAGAGTTATTCATGTAATATTAGATGAGTTACGAATGATAATGTGTCCCTTGATAACATTTGTCACGGTGATATTCTTGCATTCTATGCATGGTTGATTGTGGGATGTGATAACATTGCGTTCTTTGGGTGGAAATTTCTTTTGAAACAGTACAACTGTTACTTGCTCGGCGAGACCATAGATAACAAGCCTTGGTACTTGAAAACCTGGTCAAATAATGTATTAACTTGATACTGTACCTTTCTTTTAAAATCTACGTATCTTTCTATTTTTATATTTATAGAGAATGGGAAAGAGAGGAATTGCACTTGACATTCCTCTCTACCTCCAAAACCTTTTCTTTTTTTTTTTTTATTTTATCTTTTTAATTTTATGTTTTTATTAGATAAATTTTATGAAAAATAAATTGAAGTATGAATGATAAAATAATTCGTATTCAATTAATTTTAACTCATATGATTAGTGATTTTAAAAAAATTTTTTGAGATTAGATCAATTTTTTTAAAAAAATTTTAGTTGGGTCAAAGATGAATTTAAAGTGCTTTATACCATACAAGATTTTCACGTGGCATTTCATTCTTTTTTTTTTACTTTCTTTTTTAAAGCTTTTGATTGGGGGGTTTCTAATTTATTTTGTTATTTTTATTTTTTATTAAATAAATTTGTGATAAAAGGTCAATTGAAATAGAAATATCAAAATATTTTGTATTCAATAAATTTCAATTTGTAATGATTTAAATAGTGTATTTTTTTTAATTCGAAATAATTTGATTAAAGTTTTTTTTTTTTAAATGAGTTCAATGGAAGTAAAGTTTTAGGTGTTATAACTTAACATTGGTATCTTATGAAAAGTCTTATTCTTTTTTGTTAACTTTTTTTTTCTTTTTTATATATATATTTTTTCTCTACACACAATTTTCACTTTTTTAACGTCATTTTTCCTTATCTCCCCTTCTAAGCTCCCTCGTTCTCTCACGACTCTTTAAAAAACAATAAGAAAGAATAACTACGGTGATGAAACAAGAGATGATCCGGTGAAGTCGAGATCCAAGTAGAACATGTACTTACATTTATTTTTAGTACGGGTTTGCATTATTTAAATATTTTTATCATTTATTTTTAAAGAAATATACTTACATTTATTTATACGTTATTCATTAAAATGTAAAATAAAAATTTTACTTCTCTCGTATTTAAAACATAATTTAAAAAAATAAAAAAATAATCCCCGATTCTAGTTATAATATAAAGTTTCCCTGTTTGAAAGAGTTGGATGTTGAGCAAGACTCAACTGCCTGTAGGTGCCGCCACTTCAATGCAAAATGTCGATCAGTCATGGGAAGATGCCAAAAATCTTCCAACCTAGATTTAATGAACCTTTGGAGTGGTTGAATGGTTTGGTTAAAATGGCCTCAAAATGCATAAATAGCATAGGGTAATTGCACCAATAGCATTTCACCCTTTATATTTTTTGAGGCTACAACATCATTGTTTCACTATGCAAATAAATTCATTGTTCATAAAAGCTTCAACTTCTGCAATGAAAACCTTAAATTGGATGATGGTCCCACTTATTTACATTGGATGTGTGGTGAATTTAAACTACTATGAGCGAGGATCCAAAGTTTCTAATCTTGAACAAGTATTGAAATCAAATTTACAGATGGGATTTTCTAATCGATTTTACAAAAGTATTGATTTCGAGTTTCTAATCAAGGCTATGAGATTTTCTCCCAACCTTCTTGTGCTATACGGCAGCTTGCTTCCAAAGTTTGAGTATCATCGTAGTCATTATTATTATTATTATTATTATACACTACTTTGTTTCTAACGGACGAGACATTTGGAATCCATGTTACAATCATAAAATCACTCGAGGCAGTATGCTTGAATTACTGTTTTAGCCTTGAAACAGGCCATCTAGGTGCAAGTTTGGGTAATTGTAAATAAAGAAATAAGACAGAGAAGTCAGAGTGAAAAGTGTGAAATTAGTAGGTTTTGCTCAATGCTTTTGTTGTGGCATACTATGAACATGAAGCAGGCGGCAAAAGTCAAAACCTACCAGTAGCTGATTATTTTAAGATCCCTCTGTTTAGAGTTGCCAATGGCAACTTTAAAAAGAGGGCATTGTAGTCATTTAGAAGAAGAGATAAGAGTAAAAACAAATCAACCAGCGAGCAACTACCTTCATTGAAACCGTCAGCAAAAGACTACAAGTACACAGGACAGGAATTACTCACATCGCATTGCCTAAAAGCACCAAAGAAAAAAAATCAGAAGAGGAAGTTTACTTTCGCTTCTTTTCGACCTTCAGCAGCTTGATCTCTGGTTTTCCCTCAGAATATCATGGTTCAGCCATGCCTTTTTCCATGTGCTCTATTCTTCTTCTTGTTTTCCTCCTGCTGTGTTGTTGCTCTATCTTCTTCCAGGCATCAACTTTTTTCACACTTCACCAGAGTTCAGTTTATATCTGAACCTTCACCTCCTCCCATCTCTTTAGTTCAAAGCCTGGCAATGCCATCGGTTCCACCATCATCATCAGCATCCTCAAAAGGGAAAGTTATGAAGGCTATTGTTGCCTCAGCTGCAACTACTCTAGTTATTGCTTTGATTGTATTCTTCTTCTTCTTTTTCAGAAAGATTGCAAGATGCTGCCGGAGAGGTAAGTATGAGTCAAGCTTTCGTCGAGAAGCTGTGGTGATTCCAGATGAGTTCAAGAAGTATGGTGGAAAAGTGAAAGGATTGATCATTGATGAAAACGGGACAGATGTTGTTTATATGACAAAACAAGATGATCGACGACTAAAGAGTGACTTTCCAAAGGTCATGTTTAATCCTAGCTATGAAGAAAATGAAGAAGAAAAGGGGATAAATACTACAGTAGGGAGATCAAAAAAATCAAAATCTCAGGAGGATTTTGAGTTCCTCGATGTGCCATCTGATGTGATTGGTGATCAAAAGGAAGAAAAGCCTACTTTCCAGACTCCAACTCTGCTGCCTCCAGTTTCAACAACACTGCCACATGCACTTGATCAATATCCACGAGTACCAGCTCCTGCAATTAATTCAATGAAGCAAACAACACCTCCTCCTCCTCCTCCTCCACCACCACCACCACCTTCAATAAAGAAAGCTCCTTCTCCTCCACCACCAAGACGACCACCACCATTACCTCCCCCTTCTCCATTGCTAACGCCACCAGCACCACCAAACCTGGTCAAAACAAATTCTGCAGCCCCACCTCCACCACCGAAAACAGGGATTTCTGTTCCATTACTAAAACCCCCAACAGCGTCAAGAGGCACAGCAAACAACAGAAACAGAGCAAGCACATCGCCAGAGAACTGGAAAGGGGCTGGCTTTGGCCAGCTGAAGCTGAGGCCTCTTCACTGGGATAAGGTTATAGCTGATTCTGACCATTCCATGGTTTGGGATCAGATCAAAGATGGATCTCTAAGGTAATTATTAGTCTTGGAACATATGCATGATTATTGTTTCTTTTTCTAATTTTTTTTTTTAGTTTCAAGGGGGGGGAGGGGGAGGCTTGGTTCGAAACCAAGCCTTTATGTCTTCCTAAAGGCTTCTGTGGCCACTAGGCTTGGTTCTAAGATAATTTGTTTTATCATTCCGATCCATTGCCATATCTGTGTCTTCTGACTGATTGTTATGCTATCTTCAGATTTGATGATGAGCTAATAGAAAATTTATTCGGATACACTACTGCCAACCGCAAATCACCAGACAGTAATAGCATATCATCAACTTCAGGTAGTTCCAGCAACACCCCTGCAGCTCAGATTTTCATCCTTGAACCCCGGAAGTCACAAAACACTGCAATAGTGTTAAAATCTCTTGCAATATCTCGGAAGGAAATTATTGGTGCCCTGCACGAAGGCCAGGGACTTAGTGTTGAGACCCTCGAGAAACTAACCAAGATTGCTCCAACCCGAGAAGAAGCAGCTAAAATCCTCCAATTCAACGGCCACCCTATGAGACTTGCAGATGCTGAATCATTCCTTTATTATGTCCTGAAAGCTGTTCCTTCAGCATTTATACGTATCAATGCAATGCTTTTCAGATCAAATTATGATTCAGAATTTCTGAACCTTAAGGAATCCCTGCAAACACTTGAGTTGGCATGTAAGGAGCTAAGAAACCGAGGACTATTCTTAAAACTCCTGGAGGCCATCCTGAAAGCCGGTAACAGGATGAATGCTGGAACCGCGAGAGGCAATGCAATGGGTTTCAACCTTACTGCCCTTCAGAAACTTTCTGATGTCAAAAGCACTGATGGAAAGACAACGCTTCTTCACTTTGTTGTGGAACAAGTTGCTCGGTCAGAGGGTAGGCGACATGTGATCGACAGGAACCACAGCCAGGGAAGATCAAACAGTGGCAGAAACAATGGCGATGTAAATTCAGATAACCTGATGCCAGAAGAGAAAGACAGAGAACGTTTGATGCTAGGTTTACCAGCATTGGGAGCCTTGGGTTCTGAATTTTCCAATGTAAAGACAGCAGCTACCATAGAATACGAGAGTTTCATCAATCTGTGCTCCAACCTGACAAGCCGTGTTGCAGAAAACAAGCAACTGATAACATTCTGTGGTGACAGTGAGGAAACTGGTTTTGTAATGGAAACGAAAGGGTTCTTGGAGGAGTGTGAGGATGAGCTGAAGGTAGTAAGAGAGGAGCAAATAAGGGTCATGGAACTCGTGAAGAGGACAACGGAATATTACCAGGCAGGAGCATCCAAAGAGAGAGGAGCAAATCCAATTCAACTCTTTGTTATTGTTAAAGATTTTCTTGACATGGTTGATCGAGTACGCGCAGACATTACAAGAAAGCTGCAGCGTACGAATGGGATACACAGTGCAGGATCATCACCACCACCATCACCACCTAGGAGGAATCCTCTTGAATTAATAAATTTCCGATCACAATTCATGTCATCAGACATGTCTAGGACAACTTCTAGTGAATCAGATGATGATTTCTAGCAAGAGATTGCTTCAGCTCTCTGAATTTGATTAATGGTGAGAAGAAATGAAATTCTTACGAAAAGAAAAAAAGGAATTTATGAAATTTATAACATTCCTAGCGAAATTTAGTTTCGGAAGTTGATATGTATAACATTGAAAGGTAATACCGTTAACCATTCAACCACATTTTTTATTTCAAGACCCCTTAAGACATTGAACCATATCGACTATTTAAATCAATGACCGAACGCAGGCACCGTTTTTGCATCTATGTTTTAAGGCACCCATTGTCAGACATGACAAAAACATGTACAGGGCATTTGCAAATAACCTGCAATGTGTTCATAAGGTCTCCAAAAGCAGCTGTGGTTAACTTACTGTAGTTGAATAGTTTTCTTTTCATTCAATTGCTTTGTCTCAATTCCTTCTCAAAATCTACACGTCTTTGGTTTTTTTTTCTTTTGAATTGGTTGCCTATCAGGTATTGCCATCCCTAGCTGCAGGGGACTAGAATCCTCTTGAGATTACTGGTGTGAGCAGACTAGGCTTGATTCCAACCAAACAGGTTCTGGTCTGGGCTTCCTGCTTCTTGTTTCAAGGCTAATTTGGGCCTCTACCTTGCCTCAACCAAGCAATACTAGTAACCAAGAACGGTTTGACCTGTTAATGTAAACTTTAATCAAGCTCGCCAGTCTCTTTACGTACGTAATGTATCAAAATTGTTATCAATATTTTTTTTTTCAGTCTCTTCACGTACGTAATGTATCAAAATTGTTATCAATATTTTTGTTTAACTTGATTTAAAATTTAAAATCTTGTTAATTTTTTTTGCAAAATATTCTTTTATTTTTCTCTTGAAATATTCTTTTTAACATTAAATTTGTATCATTTTTTAATCAAATAAAAAATAAAATCAAAATAACATATTTAACCTATTGTTTTAAGTAAATTGATAAAATTGAATCTTATCTCAAACATTAATTATTAAGTTATTGAAGTATTGTTCTGACTCACGTCAAAAAGGGGCTGTTGGGAATACCAACTAGGACTATTTCCAATATGGGACCCTATAAACTTGCAACCTAAATTTTGTCACTTGTTTCAATTCCTATGACAATTTTATCAACTACGAAAAAACACCAGGCACGCAGCCTCTAAGTTTGAAGTTTTAACTTGAAAAACATGTTGTAATAATAAAAATAAATAAATTATATAATTAATAATTTAATTATGATCATATTTTTAAAATAATTATTTAATTATTAAAGTTTTTAATTTAATTATTAAAATTAAAGTAAATAATTTTTTTAATCATTCAGTTGTTAATTTTTAATGACATACTAAAGTGATATTATCTTATTCAATTATAAATATCATGTTATATTCTTACATCATTTGATATATCACATGAAATTATTAATTTATATAATTTTAAGAAAAGTATATTTTTTCAATATGATAATGTTAAGTGATACTTAATAACTAATGTATAATTGAGTTATAAAAAATATTTACTCAAATTAAAATGATTAAATAGAAAATTTAATAATTTAATGGTTATTTTTAAAATATAATTATAATTAAATGATGAATAGTATAATTTATACTTTTTAATAAAAATAAAAAAGAAGATGCTTTCCAAACGGAAACGCAATGTTGAAAAGTCACCAATGAAAGGCAAGAAATGAAGAAACAGTTGTGAACAATGCTGTCGGCTTGACTCGGTGACTCAGACTGAGTTTCTAAATTTCACACAACCACAAGTCTAATACTTTGATTTTAAAATATTAAATTTTTTTTTTTGGTAGGAAAAGAATAATTATTGCTTCATAATCGCCAAAAACTTCATCAACTTACATGTAATTCACATAGAATATCTATAGGCCACTCCCATAGATCCCATCAATACGTAATTGAAAAGGTCCTACTTTTTTTTTTTTCCTCTTCTGGAAGTAGAACGGCTGTTTCCATGAAATTTCTCACTACTAATCTTCTGTCAGCTTATCCTTAAAACCCAAGAAAAGAAAGCAAAGCTTCTAAATCTTTCAAGTTCTGCAAATTCTACAAGAAAAATGGATAGCATTTCGCTTGGAGAAATCACAAGGTTTAGCGAAGAACTGATAAGGAAAACATGTTCAATTGCCATGACAGCACACAAGTCACCGGAAAAGCCATACCTTATGGAAAAATCTCGTACCTCGTCAGATGTTTTCATCAGCTTCCCTGGATCCTGGTCTGTGGGTCATTGGTTTACTCGAAAACCTTTCGGGGCAATTAAGATTGATCGGTCAGGGTTGCTGTCTCCCAAGGAAAACGATAAAGTTGCCACATCTCTTAGAAATATTGGTCGTGATGAACTTGCAACCGTTAATGAAGGGTTTTTGAGAAGTTTAGAGATGATTTTGGCAAATTCTTCGCTTCAAAGTGAGGTACCAGTTACCATTGACCTGATATTTCTGTTTACTTCTGTTCACTTTGAATTGTGCATAATTTAATAGTACAAGGAAATGGGTGTAGGTATTGAAATTTGAACCAAGATTAATCGGATGTCACCGACTATTTACACTAATTAAACTAACCCAATTGAACTAGACTCGGATTGATATTCCTTGTTTCTATTTGGTTTCACTTTTGCGCTTCAATGCAACCTGTTGGAGTTAGAAGCTGATTTCTATACTTTCTTATGTTCTAAAAGAAGTTGATGATTTTGATTTCAGTTTGGTATTAATTTTTCTGAGATTGTGGGATAGACTCAATTTACTATCTTTTTGGTGTTAAAAAAGGGTAAAGAATATTAAAAAGGAAATATAAAGTATCGGCCGAAGTAATCAAATTGTAAAAGTAACTACTCATAGCTTGATAGCTATACATTTTGATGTTTGTCAGGTAGAAAAAGCTATTTCAGAGAAGAAGCAGATAGTTTTTGCAGGGCATTCCTTTGGAGGTGCTATTGCTATTCTGGCAACAGTTTGGTTGTTGGAGAACTACCTAAAATCTGAGAAAACTCGGATGTCACCTCTGTGTGTGACTTTCGGATCTCCTCTTGTTGCTGATTTCATTTTTAACCATGCTCTTAGACGGGAGAACTGGTCGCAGTACTTCCTACATTTTGTTATGAGATATGATGTTGTCCCTCGAATTTTGCTTGCTCCTTTGACTTCCATGGAACGAGAACTACAGCAGATTCTTGATCTGTTAAACCAAAAGGCGGTGTTTCCAATTCAGGGATCTATTGCAGAAGCATCAAAGTTTTACATAACTGTGATGAGAAATGCATCAGCTCTTGCCAGCCATGCTGCCTGTCAACTAATGGGAAACACAAATCCCATATTGGAGACATTTGCAAGCTTCATTGATCTAAGCCCTTATAGACCCTGTGGAACTTTTGTCTTCTGCACTGGAAATGGAAAGCTGGTTGTGGTAAGAAACGCGGATGCTATTTTGCAGCTGCTGTTCTACTCTTCTCAGTTGTGCTCCGACGAAGAACTTGAGGCCATTGCTGTGAGAAGCCTCGACAGCCACTTCGGTTATCAAAGTGAGCTTCAAGAAAGCTTAAATATGCAAAATGTTGTTCACTTAGATCATTTGGAAGGGCTTCCACTCTCCTCAAATGGCGCAGCTACTGAGAATATAGCAATACACACGGCCTTAAATGACCTTGGCCTGGTAAGTTCCACTTCTTCACTTGATCACCATAGTCTTTGAAAGTTCTGTTGTTTGTAATGTGATCTAATATATGGTGTCTTGGAATTGCAGAGCACTAGGGCAAGGCTGTGTCTTCGGGCTGCAGGAGAGCAGGAGAAGCAAAAACTAAATAACTATCAAAGAATAGATAAGAAAAAGGCAGACATTGAAGCAGGACTGGCAATGCTAGAAGAATACAAGATAAAATCTGCAGTTCGCCAGGTGGGCTATTATGATGCCTTCAAGATTTCAAAAGACGAAGATGATTTCAAAGCAAATGTAAAGAGGCTGGAACTAACAGGAATATGGGATGAGATAGTTGAAATGCTGAATAGGTATGAACTCCCTGAAGTATTTGAGAGCCGAAAAGTTTGGGTTGAGCTTGCAACCAAGTACCGTCGCATCGTTGAGCCTTTGGATGTCGCTAACTATTATCGACATGCAAAGAATGAAGACACCGGACCCTATATGAACAAGGGCAGGCCAAGACGCTATAGATACACCCAAAGATGGCGTGAGCACGCCTTAAGAATGCCTGTTGGATCAAGTGTAGAATCCTGTTTCTGGGCTGAGGTAGAGGAGCTGCAGCTCTGCAGGACCACTAACCCAGGAGCATTTGAAGATATCAGGGAAAGAGTTCTAAACCTGGAAAGAAAATTGGAGGACTGGATTCATGGTGGGCAAATAAGCAAAGACGTGTTTCTGGATGGCTCCACCTTTACTAAATGGTGGATGACACTTCCTCACCAACATAAATCAGTCTCTCGAATCCAGGGGTTAATGAACAGCTAAGCTGAGAAATCCAAGCTATTTTTTGTATGGCTTGGAGAAACTGATATACATGCCTTGTGGACTGATCTGGCTGCTCATTGGCTGCAGCTATCTCAGCTGTTCGTGGGTCAACAGTTTTGAGTTTCATGTGTATGCTAAATTTAGTAGTACTTTTAACTAAAAATACATGTCTAAACAAGTAGAACTTCGCAAGAGATAGCATGATGGCATTTATTTATCTTGGATTTTTGTTATGTATCCAGTTTGATTTCGTTTCAAGAATACTAAGAAAAACTTGGTTTGATTTTGATACTTGCTCCTCACCCTTTTCCTTCCATTTTCCTTTGTTCTTACCTAACATAGTGTAAATAACTTAATATATTTATCCACAAAATTTTTAGGATTGATTGTTGAAGCATAAACCAGAAAGAAAGGCCAGCAATGAACCACCCAAGCCAAGACGGAAAAACACATTAAAATAGAATTGTGTAGTTGCAGCATTTGCCGAGCAGTCCACTACTTTCACAGCACAGCCTAATTGTCCAAAAGCATTAACTCAAAATCTAGAAAAGGAAATCAAATGAAAATTTTACAGCACAGATGTGATTGATATCCAACCAAGTCAAACAGAGCATATTTTTAGTGCATCTTCCCAAGTATGGTTAAAAGCCAACAGCAAGCATAAATAAATACTCACATGTCTAACATAAAGCCTTAGGGACCCAACCATCATAAACAAGCCATGTTATAAACTGCTCCTATCAATGAAGTAACAGCCATTTATATTGAATATCAACAAATTAAGTACATATACAAAAAGGTTAATGTAATGAATGACCTCTACACTAAGGTAAAATGTTTCATATAATACCTTAACTTAAAAAAATCTTTAATGTGATACTAAACTATGAATATATTAACTAATGTGATACTTACCTCTAGCATGACTAACTTCAAATGATAACATATGACGAACAATAACTTTTCAAGTACCACGTTATTTAACAGATTTATAATTCAAGCAACAAATTAAAGATTTTTAAAATTCAAGTGTCATGTTCAACATTTTATTATAGTTTAAGGATCATTCATTAACCTCACTGAAAACATCATGCTTCTTTGACAACAAATAACCCTTCAAGAACTACATTATTTAACAAATTCATAGTTCAAGCAACAAATTAGAGATTTTTGAAGTTCAAGGATCACATTGAACATTTCACTATAATTTAAGAGCCATTCATAACATTAATCTTATTAAAAACATCATATTTCGTTGTATATCATAGCTGCTCGTTCTCATTTCTCAAACATAAGTTCTCCTACACAATATCATCCATTGACCTCATAAATAGATCTGCTTATCCATACCATGATATTACTGTTTATTCTTCTACGCATTTTATTCCTTTTTCCACATCAATCAGAGGTCTGAGGTCGCTTCATAATCCCTTGACGAAAGTAAATCCTCCTTCACAACATCTCCCTTTGGGATGAAGGATAACAACAAACTAGTGATTATACAAACTCAGGCATACCGATAAAAAAAGCAGTGGGCCTTATCCTTACTAAAGAATTGAGGGACAACCAGTCAAGTAAGCATTTGTCCTCATTGAATTATGAATTCCTAGAGGATCTCATCCAGTGAACCATATTATTTGTCAGTTAACTTATACATAGTAAATGAGCAAAATTGTGGATGAACAGCACCTTTGAAATACACGAGCAAGAGTTTCTCTGCTTAGGTTTTGCTTGGTTGGAAGGATGGAAAGAGGTGATAATAGAAAATTTGTTAATCTAATAGATAAGCTACAAAGTAGGAAGGTTGTTATGAGTTTTAACCATTAGACTAACAAGTTTTCCATCCTCACCTCTTTCCATCTTTCCTATCACGCAAAGCTTTACTACTGGTCCTGGTAATATCTGAAATGATCATTGATACTGATAAACTAAACATCAGCTTCAAACATCATAAACAAAAGAACAAGAAGTTCAAACACCAACCTATATGTGCAGGGAAATAGGAATTACATTAACAGAAAGAGCAAAGCAAAGCACGAGGAACACTGATAGACTAAAGCAGCTACCAGGAAATATAACGTTCAACCATCACTTACTTTCTCTTTTCTCATCTCCCTCACATTTTGATGCTCTTTTTGTTGAAAACCTCAACACTTGAGTATATTTGATGTTCACATAAAGGTTGAAAATTAAAAATTTCAGGATTTTCCTTTATTTTTTGTGTTTGTTCACATGCACAAGTTACTACTTAACAATTTTCTGCAAAAACTATTTAAAATTGCACAGAACATATACCCCCGTAATATTCATCAAGTTCCTTTCTGGCATGTTTTATCATTATCAAAGATACAACCTTTTTTTTTCCTTAGTGCAATAAAAAATAAAGGTTAAAATAGAATGCCATCACCACTTGTCTAAGTTCAGTTTCTAACGAATTACACCAGTGTTTAGAAGAAATAAATTCAGAAGTTAGAGTCTTACGGGGCAATTTTTAACTGGAAGTTGTCTTTGCAAAACAAAAAGCTTTCAGAAGACAGTCCTCAACCTTTACCTAACAATATTTCCATGGCTTAACTATTACAGGTGCAAATCAAACTCTGGAAAGTGCAATATTTCCATAGAGAGTCCTCAACCTTTACCTAACAATAACTTGTTTCACCATAACCACTAATATAACACGGAAAAAAAAAGCAATACAAAGTATAAATAACAGTAATCGCTTTCAGGAGTCAATTTCCTCTTGACAAGCCAAAGACTTTACAAAAACATGCACTTTATCACCATCAATAAATTAATTTTTAGGAATCAAGACCATGGCAAAAGAATTTGACACTCAATACAATAATAAACACAGAAACACAGGAGCCTTCAGCGTATGCAGTGTCTCATAAGCCAAAGATCCCACCCACTAGCAAGAGCATGAAGCAGAGACAATGACATAGATAAGGTGCAAAATTTGCCGTTGTTGCAAAACGTTAGTAGCATATAACATAACAAGCAAAGGGAATTATTACACAGACAACATTAGAAAACATTCGCATGTCCATGCACAAGTGTAACCAAACACGGAAACATAGAAAAATCAACATCTGAACATTTCTGTTTGGAAAAGAAGAACCTAAAGTAGATCAGAGTTAAATTTAAAAAGGGAGGGGAATATCCCAACAAGGACAAAAGAACCATCAGAGAACTGTTGGAGATATAGGTTTAAATTAAAATTTCAGTTACTTAGAGATACTATATTTGAAATTGGAAAATCTTGTCTTCGTCTGTCTTCGCCCTCTATACAGGTGTTACAGACTAAAAGAGTGAAATATCCAAAAGATTTATTAGGAAGCAACCAGCAGTTAGTATTATTCAACAATCATTTTAATACTCATTTTGACCTTTGATTATTATCAAATACGTTTTAAATATCTTCAAGAGTCCTGAACCAAACATGAAATCCTTCCCACAAGCCTCAGCAAAATACTCAAGAAATAAGCGTTAAACCTTCCACAAAGGCTGATTGGTGAGGTAAGTCTACTGATCAGATTGAGCACATTTACAACTCTAGAACTATCAAGAAGAAGCTAAAACTTAACCAAATCATACGGGTTTGGCATGCATCTCTTTCTACTAACATCAACAATTTTTACTTAGACACTAACACATTGATATACCAACAAATCAATGAAATTATAAGATGCCTAAGCATATAAAGTACCATTACCATACTAAAAAAAATTAGACACATATTTTGATCTTGTTTTAATGCTGAATTTCTAAACCATCGTATCCCAAAAAAATTACACTTATTTTGATCTTGTTTTAAAGCTGAATTTCTAAACCATCGTATCCCATACTAAAGATTGTCAAGGTCATCTAGTTTATTATTTAAAAAAAAAAAAGAAGAGAAAGAATATTAGATGCAAACTTTATTCATTCATTCATTTGGCAGTGAGGAGAGCCTTTGGGAAGGTTCAAAGTAGTGCAAGAATAAATAGAAAGCATGGCAGCTGAATGAGGGAATGGTATACATGTAGACACATATAACAGTGTCATGGGATGAAATTTACAGCAGAGATCTCATATCTAACTACCTAAAGCACGTGTTTTAATTAGTATTGTTTATGCGAAATTGATAGAAAGGTTAATTACCATCCTCTCAACCACCGTTCAAGAACACAAAAGGCAAATAAAATTGTCAGCCTTGCTGCAACCAAAAGTTTCATACTCAACAATGTAACCTTAACCAGTTAAACATGAATGCTATCCTTCCATCCATTATCCACATTCATTCATATTCATGTATCACTTCAAAATACAACAAGAGTCATCACTGTATAACGACAAAAAGCAAACTCGGATCACCAAAAGCACATTTGACAAATGAAACACTCTAAATGTGAAAAATATTCTCAGTAAATCTGACTTAGTGCCTTTCTAACATAAAAAGCTAAATCTAGATAAGCCTTAGCACGGAGAGTAAACAGCACATACCCCTGGCACAGAAAGAAATTAAAGATGTCATATTAATACCAGTAAACACCCAAGGAATGCATTAAAGAAAAAAAAATTACAGAATATTCATAAGCACAATTCAAGGAGTAATGCAACTAATAAGAAAATCGAATGTTAATAATTACTTGTTACTTGATACTAAAAGCATAACCAAATAAAATCCATAATTTTAATATAGAAAGAATTATCATAGAAGTAGGAAACACAGAGAGGAGCAAAGCTTATTATAATATTATTTATGTATTGAATTTCTATACCACCTTATCTATTCACATGCCAAGATGAGTCCTCTACATCAACTCATGCACCATACAGACAAGAACCAAACTCAAAGAAACATATCTCAATTCCTGAGTGCCATACGAGATAATGCTATAGTCAGATCTAAATCTATAAAAACCTAAGTCTGTGACTAATAAAACATGCAATAAAGGTGAAGAAAAAAGAAAAGTGTAACCCAACATACATAATTCATGAAAACAGAGACTGCTCCTAAGACCTTGCACTCATGCTACAAGAACGAGCCAACCTAAATGTCATACTGCCTCCTTGAACATTAGCTTCAGCCTCCACGGGATCATGCTCATATGGCTTCCTGCAACCAGGACAACGTCCATCCTCCTCAAGAATCCTCTTGTGGCAGAAAAGACACAATCGGAAACCACACAAACAGGGCAAGAAACTTGAGTCCGTGAAATCCAAATCCTCATAGCATATGGGACATGATGATGGCACCGAAAATGCACTGTTACGCGCCCATGACACCCCTCCTTGACCAAAATGCCGGTACGTAGCTGGAAAACTCCGCTGCTTGGACAAATTAGGAAGGCTCTGAGGACGAAAAGCATCATCAGCCCTCCATGCCCTGCTACTTCCTGTCGTCCTCTGCACTATTCTTGGACACTCAGGCTTCGAATTCCTCAAATCTGATCCTGCCCCAATCGAACCTAACTGGGTATTTGGTTCACGCCCAGGAGTCGGTCCTAAACAAGGGGTTTCCCTGTTATTTTCATTCCGCTCTGTTTCTTGCTTGTCATCATCTGCAGCCAATGCATCAGCAACCGCTTCCCAATCATCCAAGCATCCATCATCGCCTTCTTCTTCCGTGATGCTACCGGAACAGCACCCACCACTACTCGTGCTGCTGCTACTGCTGCTGCTATTGGTGAAACTGGTCCCGGAATCCGTTCCTCCCAACAGGCTGCTGCTTGTGGGACTATTTGAAGGCGACGACTCAGAATCGCTATCGTGATGGACCGATCCATTTTCTCCTCCTCCGATAGCCTCAGCAGTTCTCCTCATCTCTAGATTCTCCAAGGAACGGTCCCTTTCACCCCGCTGCGTTTGCTTCGAGTTGCCACCGTTGGTTCCCTCCTTGCAACAACCGTTGTTCTTTAACGCACCTTATCAAAATCAAAATTCAAAAGATAACAATAACAACAACTACCAAAAACACCAGAATTAAAAAAAAAAAAAGAAAAAATTTATGCATTAACATACTTTGAGAAAGCCATTGCTCACGGCGGGCATCCAGTTTGCACTGCTTCAATTTTGCAGACCTCTGAAGCCCCCACGAAAAATAATAGAAACATTAATAAAAATAAAATATATATATGAAATGAAAAACCGAATACCAATAAAGAAAATAAAAATAATATAAAGAAGTCCATACCCTCTTCTTTCTGGAGAAATCTTTGCAGTTAGAGGCTGAAGGAGAAGAAGCATTGTTGATCGAATCAGAATCCATACCTACCAATGAAAAAAGAGAGATTTTTTTTAAAGCAATTGGCAGATTACAAAAAAACCCTAATTTGGTTTGGTTTGTTAATTTTTTTTTTTTATTAGAGTTTTGTTCGAGTTGTCATCGTTTGGGTTTGAGAGAGAGAAAGAAAAACAGAGAATGGATAACGGAAACTCCTCTGCTCCGCTCACTCTTTCGAGTCTACTGGCTCTTCCAAAGAGGGCCCAAGCCTAATATATACAATCTATGTGACGAAAATACCCCTAGTTTTTAACTTCAACTATGGGTAATCCAATAAAGGTAACCGAATTATGGTAAAAAATTTAGGGGTAATTTATGAAAAGATTATTTATTGGATTGGAATGGAAAGTGAACGAAACGGTGTCGGAGGTGGAACGGAAAGTAAACAAAATCGAAGGCATCAAGAGCTAGAAGTAGTGAAATATGATAACATTTCAGTGGTAATTTACGGTTGAGTAGCGGGGTAAATCGCGGTTAAATTTGAAATTATGTTGATTTAAAAAAAAAAAATGATCTTTGACGGTGGTATTTATTAGGGGTTGCATGCATTAATTAGGAAAATTAATGGTTTTTGTATTATGTAAAAAAGAAATCTAAGCAATAAATATAAGAGAGTTATTTTCTTTCTTAATCTCAATCTTATTTTCTTTTGCTCCACAATTATAAATAGATTTGATAATTTTTATATTGATATCTTGTAAAATATTAATAATTTATGTATTTATAATATATTTTATTTTAAAATTAGGTATTATAATTTATGTTGATATAAAAAATATGAAATTTTATTTTAAACATATATGATTATTGTTAAATTTTTTTAAAATATATAAATAATTATTACTAAAATTTTAATATATTATACTTATATTTTTTTATTATTTTATATCGTGTTATCATGTTATATTTTAAATTCTCTTAAACTATAAGTTATAATTACTACTATTAAAATTAAACTTATCTTTTTATTAAAAAATAATTATTTGATACACGATATTTTTTAATTTTATAAATAAATTAAAAAATTAACATATATCCATTTCTTTTCTAATTAGTTTTTTAATATTTTTAAAAATTGACATACTATAAATTTTATTTTATACAAATTTTAATTTAATATATTTAATAATTATTTTTAATTTTAAGTACATTTCATCTTGCAAATATTATTACATTTACATTCAAATATATGTTCAATAATTAATTTTATTATCACTATCCAAATAGACTTAGTACGGTGCAATTTAGCACTATTTTTGGTGCAATCACACCATTCCAAGCTGTTTGGGTGCGAAGCAGTGCAATGCAATTGGGCTTGACAACTGCACTGGACCAATAATTTTGGATCGGATGGAAAAGAGTCTAGTAAGCTACCACATTGGATCCTTGGCCATAATACCATTACTTTTTAGTATTAGTTCTTAATTAATTTTTTATTTTTATGATATATTCATATTTAAATTAGTTTATTTTTATATTTTATATTTTATATGTTTAATATTATTTTATTAAATAATATTTATAATTGATATAAGTATTATTTCTTTAAGCATTAAATATTTAAAAATATTTTTATAATTTTTAATGTTTAAAATCCTAATTATTATTTTAATATAAAATAGTCTTTCAATATTTTTATCAAAAAAAATTATGAACATTTTAAATGTTAAGTAACGTTAACATATACATAAAATTAATTTATTAATATACTTTTAAATTAAAAAATAAACAATAGTTTTTTATATGAATAAATGTATTATTATCTTTTAAGAAATAATTATAATTTTAATATAAAATTATCATATAAATAAATACAAAAAATAATAAATACTTGAATATTACTTTGTTAAGTTTCAATTTAAGTAAATATATTATTATAATTTTTTTAACAAAATTATTATTTTACATAAAAATAATTTTAATAAATTTTAATAATTTATTAATTTTATAAATGATAAATATTTTAAATTTTTCATTATACACAAATTTTAATCTAATATTTATTTTTTTTAATTATAGATCACTTCACCTTTATCGTTACTTTTATATCTAAATATATATTTTAATTTCACAATTATAATAATTAATCTCATAACTATAATAATAAATTTTTCCTCAACCGCAATTTTCATTCTTACCTAAAACTAATTTTATCATTCGTCCACATATATGCCAAGTGCATTAGAACTTCCAAAGAAGGAATTAAGACCAAACAAATGGGTACCGATGGAGTAATTTGTGATTTTCACATATTGGAATTACCACTGTCAAAGAATATCAAATACAAGTCAACGAAAATTTAAGAGTAATAAACTCCGACCGGTTGTGTACGTGGTTTTGTCCTCGATGGTTTTTCCTCGACTGGTGAATAAAAATTAAGAAAATTAAAAAGTGCTTTGAAAATTTAGTGTTCGATTTGTATTGAATTTTTTATTTGATTTGAATTAAATTTAAAGATTAAATATATATTAAGTTCCGATATTAAGAAGTAAAAAAATTTAAAAAATAAATCAAATTATATATTTTTATTAATTTTTATATATTTTAAATTTTTATAAAATAAAAAAATATTTTATATAATTATTTAAATATATTAAAATTTATATTAAAATAATATATAAAAAATAAAAAACAATTTAAAAATTTGATGAATCAAATCAATATAATTTTATTTGAATTGAATTGATTCATATAAAATATCAATTTGAATTCAAATCGATTTTTAAAATTTATATATTATATATTATCTAAAAAAAGAATCAAATAAGATTCAAAGTTATCATTTTACTTTTATAAATTGCTGATGAAATATGTAAGCTTAAACATAAAAAAGGAAAAAGAAGTTTAAAAAACTTGCATAAATGATAAACAAGCGAAAAGGCTTGTAAACCTAGAGGACCATGGAATTGAAAGAGCAGACTATCAGTGATTCGTCAATAAAAGCCTTCCCAATCTCAATGAACAGGGGCTCAATTGCATCATGACGATAAGTGCAAACCCATTTAGGGCTGATTTTAACAGAATCATTTGAATATATTAAGCGGTTCCAGTACTTTGTTAAATCTTATAAAAATTCTCAACTTGAATAAAAAAGCCTAAATTGCAACTGACGAAGAAATTCTAATTAGGTATATTTAAAAAATTAAAAAATAATTAAAAAAATAAAATATGTATCAGTTTTTTAAATTTAATTTATAAAATTAAAAAATTATGCGCTGACAATGTATCATATAATTTCTAAAAGAGCCTTCAAAGAATTTCATAAGAGTTCTTTGTGAACTCAAATAATAATAATTTGAACTCTTTAACAAGACTTCTTTTTCAAATAAACTATAAATTATTTATATGCTATATATAATATATAATATAATGCTAAAACTATATAACTAATTTATTTGCCATATACATATATATAAAATCATAATCCAAGTCCTTAACCCTGTAACGTCAATCAATCCAAAATTTATTTGTAGTCAACAATGGCCACTGCGGCAGCAACAGGTTCCATGAAAATAATAACTAGACCTAACGAAGAGGAAAGCATAGATAGGATTAGTAGTTTACCTGATGACATTCTTCGCCACATTCTTTCTTTTCTTTCATCCCATTATTCAATACCGACCAGCATTTTATCGAAAACATTTAGATACATATGGAGGTCAGTCCCCATTCTTGATTTTTGGGATAATCTGTATATCCAAGAAACACCTTCGAGAAGATCATGGACAAAGTCTTGAAGAACCATGAAGACCTGTCAGGGGTTTTGAAATTTCGACTTAGGTGTTTTGACTATACATATAAGAAAACTACGCTTTCTAGGTGGATTAATCTCAGTGTAACTGCCAGTTCATGTAATCTTGAGGAGCTTGATGTTCACCTATTTGCAGGATATCGTTTAAACTGACCTTGTACAGTGTTTCGTGTCAAAAACTGAAGACTCTTAAGATTGTCTGGTGGAATCAAAGTCGATTACATTCCTACTGATCACGTGTTGTTTCCATGGCTTAGGATCCTTCGAGTTAAATCGATTTCTAGTGTAGGTGGTAACACGTTAAACAAGCTCCTCTCTGGCTGCCCTTGGTTTGAAATTTTCCATATAGAAGATTGCTTACTCAAGAGTTCAAGGAGAAGACCAACACGCGAAGTTGCTATCAAGAAACTATATTTAGAATACCAGCTGACGCTTAAACCAAGAGGTTGTAGGATACAAGGTGATTCATATTGTGCAAATCGCGTATTATCCCTCGCTTCAGCAAGCATTGATGTTATTAAATATTATAATTTGTATACCAGTGATACAAATCTCACCTTTCATCTTTTGAAGGCAATCTCTATTATGGTAAAGCAGCTGGAGGTATGTAAAGCGAATGTGAGTCCCTTGACCTCTGCCTCTCTCGTATCCCATGCATGTGTCACTACCGGTGCAGGCTCCCGGCCCGTGACACATTCATGCTGTTAAAAATTCTGTCGCTATTAACATGTTTGTTTTCTTGTAGTTGATCTTATTGCAGAATGAGAGTTACGATTATCCACCAATTTTGCAAAATTTGACACATCTTGTGGTTAAAGTAAATGACCATAAGTATGCCTCTAAAGCTTTGCATTTCTTACTAGAACATTCACCTAATTTGATTTCTTTGGTTTTGGGGAAGGTCACCTTACAAGCAACATAAACACACACACACACATGTATATATTGAATTGATTGTTTCTCTTATTAATTAATCCTAGCTTGCTACTTAATCATAATCTAAGGTTTAATTAATTGGAATTATTAATGTTTCTATTGTTCATTACAGCCATTTCCGCGTAAATATTTATGCAATGATATGTGGAATCTACCACCTATTGTTTCCAAGTACCTGGAGACAGTTCAAATTATGGGTTCATAGAATTCAAAGAGGTGAAGTTTGTCAAATACATTTTGAAGGATGCATTGGGCTTGAAGAAGCTGGTTTCGTGTGCTGCAAAAGTAACTGATAATGAAATAAAGGCAAGCCAAGGGGTTCCGCTCAATGTGAAATACTGTTTATTGATTCAATTATTTCTTGATTAACTAATCATGTGCTAGCTTGAAAAATTTTGAGTTAATTCAAAGGTAAGCCCAGCTATAATGTTAGAGGGACTTTTAGCTTATTGCTTACTGGTTTATTTTATTTTATTTCTATATTACTACTATTACTAATACAGCCATACAGGCAGTATCTTTATGGGAGGAGTTTTTATCAGTACGGGTTAAGTTAATATTTTATCTTTGTGTTTTACTAAAATTTTCAATGTGATGCATTTGTTTTAAAAAAATATATAACATAATACTTGTATTACCGAATAATGATTTAAATCAAAATGATACTCGGAGTTAAACATACAAGTGATGCGATTTCTATTCGATTTTATAACGTTTAGTATTTTTTTATTTTGAAAAATAAAAGTAAAGATTGAAAAATCAAAATTCTAAAAAATCCAACCTAGCTTCGCAAAAAACTAAAATCTCAGCTTTGCAAAAATCCTGTGCAACATAAGGCATTACTTATATATTGTGTTTGTACTCTAATGAAATTGGACAGTCAGACTCTAAATTCTAAGACCTACTTGAGTACAAAAAATTTTGCCCTCTAGTTTTTTGTTAGCCTGTTTCAAATGAAGACAGTTTCCTCCTATTGTAGTTTTTGCTTGTTTTCTCTGCTGCTATGGGACATCATAAACTCAAAGTATACCAGAACCAAAAAATTCTAAAACAGTAAAAGCTGCAGTGGAGAACCATAGTGGCAATGGTTATAGCTTTTTTCTTTTTCACGCAAAATCATAGACTCAGTTCCAAGGAAGTGTTGAGTCTGTTTCTTTGTTTCTGCTACCTGTGTGGAAACTTCTTTGATAACATATGCGACGTGCCTCGTTGAAACATTCCATCCTCAAGTATCTGAAGCATCATGTTAAAGACATCAGGATGGGTCTTACTTAGTCTGACCAAAAAGCACTACAGTGTATGGTCGTCTTCTAACAGCCTCAGTTGGCTGACCACCCTCACTGTAACCAACATACCCAAGAGGTGAACTGATGAGCTTAGACACTGTGCCTTTCCATGAACTCACTCATATCAAGTTGGATCATGGCTTCTTCGGAGCCAAAATAGTAGGCAGTTGGAGCCTTTGCTAGTTCTGACTTTCCTACACCAGTTGGTCCAGAGAATAGGAAGCTAGCAATTGGCAGATTGGGGTTCCTGAGACCAACACGGGCAGGTTGAATAGCATGGCTAATGGCTTTGGCAGCTTCATTCTGACCAATGACTCGCTTATGAAGAGTCTCCTCCATCTTAAGGAGACGATCAGATTCATCAGTTGATACTTTCTTAACAGGAATACCAGTCAACGAAGAGACTATAAGCTGAATGTCCACTTCTGTCACAACAGGACTTCCATCCCTTGCCTCCACCTCTACCTTATTCATCTCCTTTTCTTTCCCTTGGATTGCAGTGATCTGAGCCCTAAGCTCAATTTCTCTATAACGTAATTCCCTGGCCTGTTTAAAAGAATGTATTATGATATGAATTAAGCTAAATCAAAGGTTGTCAAAACTAGATAAGAAAAACAATGGTTGACCACTTAACAGCGTAGAAAGAAAACAAATCTTTGAGACCAACAAACAAACACCAACAAGTTTGGACCCAGAGAAGAACCATTAAAATATTTAGATCCACCCTCTAAAAAAATCAACATAAAATGGCCCCATGAAACTCAAAAACTTTTGTACCTTCTCAAAGTCCTGGCCGCGAACCGCTTCATTCTTTGACTTTGTGATCTGCATGATCTCTTTTTCAAGCTCTCTAGCCTGCTCAGGGAGCTGCAACATCAATAATGTCATTAAATCAACTTGAAAAAGAAGGGCAAATAAGAGTCACTAATGACTAGATTGTAACACAAGCACACGAGAAGCGGCTTCATCAATCAAGTCCATTGCTTTGTCAGATAGAAAAAGGTCGCTGAAGTATACAAAAACCAATGTGAGGAACAAAAAGTGCAATTCCATTTTTAGACCAAGTAATTACGAAAAGACTTGATGAAAATAAGATGACCACATGCCTGATGTACTGTGCACTAAAAATTAAAGCCCCATCTGTGTAACGAAGCTTGTGGTGAATCTCACAACGCTCTTGCTAACCTTTCAAAATCTGTATAGTTTTATCTAGAGATGGTTCAGGCACTTTGACTGGATGGAATCGTCTTTCCAAAGCTGGGTCTTTCTCAATATGCCTTTTGTATTCATCGAGTGTTGTAGCTCCAATACACTGCATTCATTTTTCAAATAAAAGATATAACAAATAGCAAGATTTTATTAGAATAACAGAGCCAACAGGTAGCATTAACACAATACTGTAACTTCAACAGTAGCACAAATACCAGATCTAACAATATGCTTCACTTACACCTTGCTAAATAGAAAATTCCAACATGAGCAGCAATAGGCAGGCTCCAAATAATTCAGATAGAAGTAAGATATCATATAACAATCAACTCTAGTCTCTAAAACAACACATACAGTTTGTCGAGCATCACCCTTAGAAGCAAAAGCAATTTGATGGAGGTTGACCGTCTGATTGTAAACAATATTACGCTTCCCTTCATACCTAACCAGAGACCCTAAACAACACTTTGTATGATTAGCAAGGTTTTTTATTAGCAAGATTTTGAGATTAAATATTCGCATGTATGCCGGTTCTGTCCTGTGCTCTTTGCTTCCAAGACAGCATCATTTGTTGCTTCAGCTTCATTGCTAGAATCTTCACTTACATAGTCTTTATCATTTGAATTATCATTTTTACTGTCACTACCAAGAAGAAACAAGCTATCGCCGTATCTAAGGAGAAACTTACATTTTCTATTTCCCAGAATTTCACCCTTCTTCCTATCATATAGCAGCAATTCTCCGTCATCCGTTCGAAATATAAAATCATCATTCTGTGTCAAACTGAAAATAGTAGGAGTGCCTTTCAAAATTTCAACTTTCAATAACTTGCTCCTACCTTGAGAACCATCGATGCACTACACCCATATGTCACATATCTCACTATACACATCAGGCTCAAACTTTGCAATAGCCAGAGAGTTATTGTAGTAATAATATTGTTAATTTAGAAGGCAGTGAATCTCACATAGAATATCATTTATATGTAATTTTAAAAAAATTATTTATATTGTTTAAATAGTTGAGTTAAGCTTAAAGTGGGTCAATTGTTAAGAATTTTATTAAATGAGTCAAATAATTTTAAAAGTCAAAGTAAAAATATTTGAGTTTATTTAGTAAATAAATTTATTTTTTATTTAAATTTTTTACTTTAAATTTTAAAATATTAACAAAATATTATTTTTGTTATGAATAAGCATATTTGAATAGAAAAACATGATTGTCTAAATGAGCATGTTCATTGTTTGAAAGTTAAAGCATTAGGGCTTGTTTAGTAAATAAATTTATTTTTTGTTTAAATTTTTTATTTTTTTTAAATTTTAAAATATTAATAAAATATTATTTTTGTTATGAATAAACATGTTCGAACAAAAAATCATTACTATTTGAATAAATATGTTTAAACAAAAAACATGATTGTTTGAATAAAAAACATAATTGTCATGACTTTTTTAATAAGAATTTTGTGATTATTTGTATATTATAAATAGATTTTTTTACATAATTAATTTCATTAATTTTGACTCAAGAGTTTTAAAGTTTTGTTATATTCTACAAACATAATTGGTTTTAAGATATTGTTCTTTATTCCCCAAAACCATATTTGTTTTCTTTCTTAATTTTTCTATTTTCTTAAATTTTTCTAACAATAACTCCCATGGAAATATCAAAGCAATAAACCTTCCAGTATTCTCATTTGCTCCTTTATATCTAATTAGAGATTTTTATCATCAATAAAATCTTAATTTTTGGAGATAGGTTTTCCAAAAATTTGTTTTTAATGTAAACAATTCAAAGAAAGTGGAATTATATACCTGGAGATTTTCAAAATCATATATTCAGCACCAAAGCCGAACCCAAAACAAAGTTCATGAAAAACACTAAAAGATGGATTTGGCACCAGAAAGCACTTTCCTATACTTGAATTCCATATTCTCGAACGGCCATATCCTACCATATATACTAAACCATTGCAAGATCCAACTATATTATACTCAGAAAAAAGAAATTGCTAGTACATAGTCAAGAAGTAGTCAAAATTTTTAAAAAAAAATCTTACATTGCCAGATTATTGAAGGAGAAAAAATTTAATTTTTTTTTAATTCTCTAGTTGGTTGAGAATGAAATTATCATTTTTGGTCAAATTTATCCAAGTTTTGGAGACAACCAAATATCTTGCCAGAGTCTCCACAAGTAATTTGGTAAGAATTTTGAAAACCAAATCTTCATCAGAGATTTTTATTTGTCCTGCATTTTTGTGATACAAGCCAAATGAATAGAGAAGAAGAAATTATCTTCTTGTTTTATGCAAACAGCTTAAGGAAGGAAGAGGAGAGGAAGAAAAATGAAAAGAATATTATGTTTTATTGAAATGAATAAGAACATATAAATATATTTGTTTTGGCCTAACTCAAAATGGTTTACTCCAAACCTAATTTACTAACAAATAAATTTTTACAACTATGAGACTTTTGAAATGAGAAAAGTTACCAAAAACTCATTACTCAATACTTAACCTAAAACCTAATTATACACTTTTAATAGCTTACTCACTTAACTATTCTCTTGGTATCTAACTATCTAATATTACTAAACTAAAACTAAAACATCTTATTTATAAAAGTAAAACCCATTATATTTTTATTAAACTCTTGATATGAAATATAAGATAAACTCTTAACTCTTATAACTTTACTCAACTTTTGATATG